TCCGAAACGGCACCTGAACAGACAAAAATAAGACAGCACACACACACAGAAAAAGGGGTAAGTAAACGAAAACCTACCTACCTACGTGCTGCCTAGGGCCTGGCGGGCCGTCGTGGGCCTTCAGGGCGCGTGCTGGATAGTACGCGGCCTGGGGCCTCTCAGCAACCGTCAGGCCCCTCAAATGGGGCCCGTGTGCAGGCTCAGCATGCAACACCCCCCCCTCCTTATGAAGTCAAGCCGGTCGGGGGCGAAGCTGACGATCTGAAGCCGGTACTTGGACGCGTATGCGTCGTGGAGCCGAAGATGCCGGCTTGCCTTTCAACTTCTGTTCGTAGCGTGCGAGAGCATCAGGCGCTGTTGCCTGAAGTTCCGCACGAGTCAGCCATCGGTCAGCTCTATGGGTGCAATATGCGAAGTGGACCAAAAATTCAGTCAGCCTGTTGCTGTAACGTCGCTGGGATATGATGTCGCCAACCTCTTGGAAACCGTCCATCGAGGGTGGGTCTTGCGATCGTCGCCCGGGAAAGTCGTCAAGTTCCGCTGGCGTGTAGAGGGCCAACTTGGAACAATGAAAGACCGGGTTAACGGGCAAGTGGGCGGGCACCTTTATGACGAATGAAGGTCCTTCGGGTGCGTCCCCAGCGGGTGCATCGATCGGCCAGGGCCCCATCCATTTCGGGAGGAGCTTGCGAGAGATGTCTTGTTCGAGGCTGAATTCTGCAGCGGAAACCCATACGAGGTCGCTTGCGCGGAATGGACAAGGAAGACGCTGGCAGTTGGCCTGTTGGCTCATACGTTGCTGCGTCTTCGACATCTGGTCGCGTGCCTTGACAAGAAGCTCTTGCATCCGACGAATGAAGAGAAGGTGGTTGTCGCTCTCGGTTGTCAGTGGCATGATTGTGTCCAATGGAGAGTTGACAGGCGAGCCATGCTCAAACTCAAACGGCAACATCCCGATGGCCGGATGGATGGACGAGTTGTAAGCCAACTCGACATCTGGTAGCCGCTCGACCCAATCCTTTTGGTCGGGACGGATGAGAGTGCGAAGAAGGACCTGTGCGGTCTGATGTGCCCTCTCCGTTTGGCCATCGGTTTGGGGGTGGCGAGCCGAACTTGGCTTGAGGGATGAGCCCCATCGCTTGATGAGCGCCAACCAAAAATCGGACATGAACCGAGTGTCGTGGTCGCATACGATTTCCTTGGGGTAACCCTTGGTTCGAATCCAACCGGTGTAGAGAACCTCGGCCAATTCCGGTGCCTTGGCGTGATAGCGGCAAGGCAAGAACATGGCAAACTTGGTGAGGCGGTCGACCACCGTGAGAATCCCGTCGACGCCCGTCTTGTGCTTGGGGAACGGCCCGGTGATGTCCATGGCAACCGCTTCCCGTCGGCACAAGGGGACCGGTAATGGTCGCAGTTCGCCATACGGACGATGATTGCGAGGTTTGCAACGTCGGCAAACTTCGCATGACTCGCAATAGCGCGTGACGTCGTCGAGAAGACCGGGCCACCAAAAGTGCTCGCGTAGTCGGCCAATTGTGCGATTGACTCCAAAATGTCCGGTGGCGGGGGCGTAGAGGAACTCGCCAAGAAGCCGGGTGCGCAAGTGGGAATCTTGCGGCACACAAAGGAGATCCTTCCCCCGCGAGTGAAGAAGCAAGTATCCCTCTTGGATCCGATAGTATGAAGGCGCCGGATTGGGAGAGGAACAGTTTGCGTATTTGTCGTGAAACTCGGGGTCGGCTTGATAGCCGCGGATGAAGCTGTCCCGCAAGTCATCCTCGATCTCGAAGGTTGAGTAGACCGCGGTGTAGTGGTCCGGACGCTGCGAAAGGGCATCCACAAAGCGGTTTGACTTCCCCGGAATGTGATCGGGAAAGAAGTCGAATTGGTCGATGAAGGTCATCCAACGAGCAATGGTGCTGTTGACGGTGTCTTGCGACTTGTAGAATACCAACGGATTGTTATCCGTTACCCATCGGAATGCTTTCCGACCAAGGAGGAAATGTCGCCAACGCTTGAGGGCGTGGACGAAGGCGAGAAGTTCCTTCTTGCGTGGATCGTCGATGGAATGCACGGCGGGCACTTTCTTGTTGAAGTATTCGACCGGGTGCCAGTCCACGCCGTCATGTTGCTCGAGGACGGCACCAATGCCATAGCCGGACGCATCCGTGGTGACGCGTGTTGGCAGTAGCGGGTCGTAAATCCGCGATACCTACTTGGAGAGCAAAGCGGCCTTGAGGGCCAAAAATGATTCCTGCGCGTCCGACCCGAAGTCAAACGGTCGGTCCTCGCATTGAAGCTTGGTTAAGTGAGCCGCGATCTTCAAGTACCCTTTGATGAAATGTTGGTAGTAGCCGGCGAGGCCAAGGAATGATCGGACATCCGTGACGTTCCGTGGCTCCCGCCAATCTTGGACGGCTTGAATCTTGTCCGACAACGGACTAATGCCTTGTGGAGTGACGAAGTGGCCCAAGTATTCCAACTCTTGACGCACGAACTCGCACTTGTCGCGGTTGGCTTTAAACTTGGCGCGCCGGAGCGTCTCCATCACTCGTCGAAGATGGTCAAGATGGTCCTCCAAGGTCCGGCTATAGACGAGGATGTCGTCCAAGTAGACCAGCACGAACCGGTCCAACATTGCGCGAAACTCGTTGGTCATCGCCGCTTGAAAAGTCGTCGGGGCGTTGGTGAGTCCAAAAGGCGTAACAACCCACTCGAAGTGCCCGTACCGTGTCTTGAACGCGGTCTTGTAGCGATCTTGCGGCCGAATCGAGATCTGAATGTATCCCGACTTCAAGTCCAGTTTAGAGAAGAATTTCGCACCGCCCAAGCGCTCCAGAAGGTCGTCAATACGAGGAAGAGGTCCCGCGTTCTTAACGATTTGCACATTGAGCTTGCGGTAATCGATGCATAGGCGAAGGTCCTTGTTCTTCTTCCGAACGAAGAGAACTAGCGCACCATAGGGTGAGCTACTAGGCCGGATCCAGCCTTTGTCCAACAAGTCGTCGAGCTGCGCGAGGAGTACTGCAAGTTCCTCCTCGCTCATGCGATAAATGCAACCTTTCGGCGGCTTGGCACTGGCCTCAAGAATGATCTCGTGTGAGATCGGCCGATCCGGCACCACGCCGGTAGGTGACTCGAAGACATCGGCAAATTTGTCGAGCAACCGCACCACCCGGGGGTCTGAAGACAAGTCCGTGGGTTGAGAGTCGGCTACCGCGACGGTTCGAAAAAAACATAAGCCGATCTCTTCGGTCCGCTCCTAAGCACAAGTGGCCCGAAAAGACTTGGCGGTTACAACTTGGCACCGGATCGAAGGGTGCGGAGGAGGAATGGTACATGGTACTTGGGCGCCGAACGCGTCGCGAACCGTAAGTGTCCGCCGGTGGAAGTTGACCGTGTGATCCGCACTTGCAAGCCAAGGCATGCCCAAAATGATGTCGAAGTCTGTGTCCAAGGCGTCGAACGTCACCGGTTCGCATGCATGAGGTGCGAAATAAACCGGGACAGCTTTGATGTAGCGATCAAGGAGTTGTTGCGTTTGACCGTCCGCCAGCTTGATCGTCGTAGGGTGTGCCTTCCTTCGAACTTGTGGTCCAAGGCCTGCCCTTTGCATGAAGGACTAGCTAATGAAGTTGCGAGTCGCGCCACTATCCAGCAAAGCGTTGTAGGATGCTTGCCCCATTTGGATGCGGACATAAAGGAGCGGTGCGTTGCTGTCGTCGTACAACTGCGTGCAAAACTCGCGGGCCACCTTGCTCACATACGCAAAAATTTCCCCCACCGCGACCTCGTCCTCCGTAGGCGAAGTTGGTGGTGCATAGAAGGCTAAGTATGTATGTAAATGAGCACGAAGAGCTGCGCATTGCGGCTCCGGTAAGCAGCCGGTGGAAGGGAGAGGAAGCCATGCAAAATCCCCGGGCGTCAACGGGTCCAAGTCCTCAATGTTGAACGCGCGCGCCGAATCCCGTGAAGGTCCACTTGAAGACGAATCAATGTTATTGCTTCCGATCGGAGAAGAGACCGCACATACATCCTGTTCTTGGGCTCGTGAATCCAGCGAAGGTACGAGCCGGGCAGCATAGTCCTCGAAAGAATGAAGAATAGGAGGACTTACGACGTCCGCATATGCCCCGGAACCGAGAGAGGTTACCCGACTGGCAACCAGTTCCGTAGGCGTTGAGAGTGTCGTCGCAACACTCTCGGCAGAGCTCACTTTCCCGACTGAGTGGGGCCCTTGGCTTTTGTGGGGCAGTTTGCGGTCTCATGGGCCGCGCAATTGCACCATAAACAATAACGGTACTTGGTGCGGACGCGATACCCGCGCTCCGTCAGGCCGTACGCTGTCCAAGGTTCTTGAGCTGGAGCTGCTTGCCCGGGTGCAGAAGAAGTATTGGTGTTGGTCTTCGACTTGCCGCGTCCTCGTCCTTTGGCGGGGCGGACACCATTCTGGGCAGCTGCGAGTCTGTCTCCCTCATTAGACGAAGCAGCCTCGTTGGAAGTAGAAGGGTCGCTAGTTGTTGCCGCTGCGACCACGACCACTTTCGACCGATGCTGATGCGCACCCTGGCCGACATTTGACGAGTGGCCTGTATTTTGGGCTGCCAAATTCGTCACGATAATCTGCGCGGCCTTGTTGAAAAGCTCCTCACTTGTGGTGAGGGTCTCAGCGACGTGAGTCAACGCATTCTGCAGCGCTGGGCACGACCTCTTGATGAAGTAGAGTTTGATGCTGTCGAAGTTCATCGGCAACTTGGGCGTGCTTGCCAGGCGCTGGTACTCAGATATCCAGTCTCCACTTGGCATGTTTTTTTGTGAAAATGTCATCAGCTTGTGCATCGCCAGGTGCTCAGGCGGTTCTACTTGGAAACATTTCTTCCATGCCGCCGTGAGGTCCGCCCAGGTGATGTACTTGTGTAACTCGGTGACTGGGCATGCATGAGTGGACAGTATATTGTCCAACCACGACTGATACGCTCCTCCCGAGCGGGAGTACAGATATGCATGCCGGTTCGTGTCGATGACATGGTGGAGGTCCAGCTTGACTTCGAACTGGCGCCACCACTGTATGGGATCGGTCTTCGATGCGTCACAGAAGATCGGGAGCCCATCGAACTTGATGATGCTTTTGCGTGTCGTTGTGCCAGGGCCGGCTGCTGCGCAAACTTGTTGTTAACGCTGCTGTGCCCCGGTCTTAAGTGTTCCCACATCGATCTCCAATACATTGATGCGGTCGGCGAGATCGGAGGGGCCGACGTTGGCTTTGGCGTTAGCGACCTGCTGCTCCAACTGCTGAATGCGCTTGAGCATCTGGTCCATTGATTGCTGTAACGCCTTGTTGGTGTTGTCGAGAGAGTGGATATCCTCCTGTTGCGCGATGCAAGTCGAGAGGAGGTCTGTGACGCAGTTGAGCAGCTGAGATACTCTGCTCCCGACGTCGATGGGATCGCCGCTCTCGGCCTCCTTCTGCCAATCGGTGGCCTGTGCGTATAATGCATTTTCCTCTCGGAATAGAATCTCACGTCGCCGTGTACGTTCCTCATCCGCTGCCTTGGCTGCTGCTTCCGCGTGCTTCTGCCGCTGTTCTCGGCGTCTGCTTCCCTCTTCTTCCGTGCTGCTGCCGCTGCTTGTGCTCGCTGCTTGCTTTCGGTCGTGATGGCCGCCAGTCGTGCCTCGTAGGCCTCGACAGTCTCGCCTGGCCTCTGATGCATCGCTGCTGTCTGCGAGCGAGTAAGTATGGTCATGCGCGGCGGGTCCCTGACGTGGCCTGCTGAAGTGAGGACTTACCTGGCCTGCAGCTGCAGGTCACTGGGCAGGTCGGAAGGACAGAGAAGGGATGAACAGTTGGGGGGGAGAGAAGGGGGATGGGCAATCCGCTGGGTCGCCTAGATATGGAGCCACTAATCAAGAAAAAAGTGGTGAACTTGCAGCAATTTCGAAGAAAAAAAAAAAAAAATTGAATTTGCAAGCTCGGTAGGCTCCCCAAGTATCCCCTCAGCAGCACAAAAAATTTCGAATTACAGACTGCAAATGAATCAAAATGTCAAATGGAGATGATGGGAATAACTGAACTGCGAAAACAGTGAGTACCAATTTTCGCAAGTCCAGAGAATTTAAAATTTTTTGGAATATATTAAGTGAGAGTATACGCAGTTTTGACAACAAACGTTTGTAAGAGGAGTTTCCCGAAAAGCAATGTCTGAAATATGAAGAAGGATTTTCGAAAAATCAAATTTCAAAATTAAAAAAAAGACGAATTTTGGAAATTTTCGGAATTAAAAAAATGAATTCCAAAAAATTTCGGAGTTAAATAATTTATTAATTTCGGAACTTGAAAAACGAATTTCAGAAATAATTTTCGAAATTGAAAATCGGATTTTAAAAATAATTTCAAAAATGAAAAACGAATTTCAGAAGTGAAAAACGAATTTCAGAAATAATTTTCGAAATTGAAAATCGGATTTTAAAAATAATTTCAAAAATGAAAAACGAATTTCAGAAGTGAAAAACGAATTTCAGAAATAATTTTCGAAATTGAAAATCGGATTTTAAAAATAATTTCAAAAATGAAAAACGAATTTCAGAAGTGAAAAACGAATTTCAGAAATAATTTTGAAAGTGAAAAATGAGTTTCATAAGTAAAAAACGAATTTCAGAAAAGTAAGCGAAATTGACAAACGAATTTCAGAAATGATTTTCCGAAAGAAAACAAAGTTCAAAAACGATTTTCGGACCTGCAAAACGAATTTAAAAAATTTTGGAATAACGGGAATTTTCGTAACGGGATAAAATCGAAACTTTTCAAAAAAAATAATTATGGACTTCTTTACCACGAAATTCCGAATTTCAGCAAGAAAAAGATTTTCGAAATATCGGATTAAAACAATAAATTCGCGGAATAAATAATGGGAAATCGCGGTATTTCGGATCTCTAGCAACGAAGTTTCGGGGTGGAAGAAAGAAAAACGAACCTTCAGATGCTCCGCTATTGTTGAAAGAAAGAAATAGCGGGAAAACGAATCCAAAACATAAAAAAAATTCGATTTCGGCAGTTAGGTCAAAGTTTCGCGATTTGGGGACTAATTAGTATAACCTAATCAATCAATAAATCAATCAATCAATCAATCAATCAATCAATCAATATTCGATCAATCAATCAATCAATCAATCCGGGATCAATCAATTGATCCAGGATCGATTTATCGATCAATCGATACTCACCCAATCGATCTTGGGTGGTCCCCGTGCGCGCGTCAGATCAGGTTCGTCCTGATTCACATACTGCAGCTCCGATACCAAAACTGACGCATGCTCAAGGGAGCAATGCGCAGTATACCAAGGATCCACAATATGATGAAAAGGACTGAAATAGACAATGCAAGATCAGCGCAGCATCAACAAGCAATATACATTCCGATACATACAAGATGGCACGAAATGGCACAACGGAAGACTTGGAAGAGAAGATCTGATCTGATCTGGACTGATCCGACATCCATCACACATCACGCATGGGAGAG